AGATGGAATTAGGGGAGGGGACAATGAGAGAGAGAGAGGGAGAGAGAGGGAGTGAGATTTTAGAGAAGGAAGATGATAGTAGAGAAGAAAAAGATAATAATAATTCGCATGTCTTTCCCCCTAGCATGCGAGGTGATTATATACTAAGTTACTCCTATTATGCTTAGGACTATGATTCCTAATTAATATGATATAATAATGTATTAGGACTAAACTAATGTATCCTATTACGAATAAACTTAGTCTAACAAATGTAATCAGCCATCCATGCCGGCTTCCTTCGTTTTCTCCTTGGCCTAGTAGCATGGGTTATTTCTTTTCTTTCTCCCAATTCTTGATTTTCACCATCTTCTACTATGGATATACTCGTATCAAAATAGGTGTACTTGTAAGTGATTGTACTTACACTTTTTACTTGCAAAGGTACACCAACTACATGCACTTATAACACATTTACTTGCACCAAAGTTCGAGTTATTTACGAAAATGCCACGATTCGTTGATCTAGACACGTAGACAGTTATAAATGGTTCTTATTTGTCTCCTGGACAACCGTTCGCATTAGAGCGTCTCCATATATATATATATATATATATATATATATATATATATATATATATATATATATATATATATATATAATAATCAAAATTACATACCAAGACTATGTGGTCTAATGGTACTTGGGTTGGACTTTGATTTGGAAAGTTGTGAGTACAACTCTCAGTGAAGGCGTTATTGGCTCTTTGTGTTTCAGTAGGTTGAGAAAGTATATGAAAATAGAGCTAGTAGCATTAAAAAAAATCAAAATTATATTACATAAAATCTCTAACTATTAACCGATTCCAATTATATCTATTAAAAATGTTACCTAAAGTTATTTTATTGAATTGATTCACTGATGTTTTAGGAAAGTTTACGCACCCCTAGAATTTATTATATTGATTGATTCACAGGTTCCTTTTGGGTGAGACTATGAGAGCAGTGGAATAACTCATAATTCTTTTTAAAGGAAATCTATAATGCTATTAGATTTTTCTTAAAAAAAAAAAAAAAAAAAAAAAAAAAAAAGACTAGTATTTTCACGTGCACGGAATGTATTTGTTATAATATTTTAAGAATATTTGGATCGATATACAATTGTATAAATTGTAACATCGAATATTATATAATGCAATTGAAGAATATACTTGAGTTGGATCAATTATATTTTCTAATGTTATCATTGCTTGAATTCAAGTAATAATTGTCTAATTAATAGCTAACGTGTAGATATACACATCCGGTGTTAAAACTTTAGAGATTTTAATATATCAGTGTTTAGGATTTGTATTATTTGGGCTAATTAGCTCGTTGTCTATCAACTCAGTTAAAGAAATTATTTGTACGGATGATATATATATTTTCTATGTAGATATATAGCAATTTTGTCATCTTTGTATAAATAGAAAACATAATATCACTGGTTTGAATTATACATTATTGAAAACAGTACATCTTTGTAGACGACATTGATAGTAGTAACAGAATTTTGTTCATCCTCATCTAGAGCTAAAACCTTTAAGCCATCAGGACGGTTGACTCGGGAAAAACTTACGTACACCTAAAGGGCAATCTCGTATCAGAAGGGGTGAGAGACATTCGGGGGATAAGAACTTTGGTTCATTGATGTATCTCAGTAACTATTCTTGCTTCGACAATGTGATCTGCCAATCTTGTGACGATGTGGCGCATACTGTAGCAAACACCAAGAGAGTGGTCTATGTTCCACAATAACATAACAACTGTACTAACCACCTTTAATGTCAATGAGTGATTAGGAAGGCCAGACAATCTCAAACAATTTAAGAACTCAGGAGTGTGTACTTTGATAGATTTTCACCGTCTAATTCTGCCTTACACAAAGAGTCACAACTTAAATATGTTCGATCTTTTGCAGTGTTCATGTCGCACATGTATTGATTAATTTGATCAAAAATTAATAGGAGGATTTTGATTTTATTAATATGGTATAGATATAGATTAATTAATATTCATATTAATTTGAACGGTAAGTTAAAAAAGAGGATTTTACTTTTATTAATAGTATAGATTTGTGGAATTTTTCGTTTCACATTAAGACACAAAATTTTATGTACTCCTACCATATTTTTCTTTAATCTGAAAAGAATTTTTGTAGTTCCATCATTTCACATTATCTATTACGGAGTATTTATTATTTATTATTTATTATTTATTATAACTTTTATTTTAAATAATTATTATTATTACAAAATTATAATTTAAATAAAATAAAATATATAATATATAATTTAAACATTAAATTAAACAAAAAAACTATAAAATTTAAACTAAAAATACAATTATAATGTATGATTTGATTAAAATTATAAATTATAAACTTAAATATTATATCTTTAAAATTTAATAGCAACGTATCACAACAAATTTATTAAAAAAAATTGAAAAAAAAAAAAGACAAACAAACTTATGCATTTACAATGCAAATAGAAGAATAAACATGTGACTTATCTACCACTTTCTCTCCTAGTGTTAGCCCCAAAAAATTCAAAGGGACCTAGCGTGGTTCGGCCAAGATTGTGTGGTTCAAGCATGAAGATGGCGTGCTTGGCCTAAGTCATGAAGAGAGCAGGGCTCGGCCCTTGGGCAAGGGTTGGCTTGGTTAGTCGATAACTAGAAAGTTGGTTTTGTGGGAAAACACGGACTTTTAGTTCGTGGGTGCATAATGTAGTGTTGACGGGCTTGAATGGTAGCGTGTTCTGGGCCCGGGGTCAAGCCATGAGTGACTTATGCTGTGTTTGGCCGGGTTGTGGCTCGATTGGTGCCTTATTGGTGCGATAAGGTGTGCTGTGGCGGGATTTGGCATAGCAAGGACCGAAGATGGTTTAAGACTTGGGCATTGGTCTTGGCAATTATGACTCTAAAGGTGAATTGGTGCGGATTGGTGGGTCCCGTGCACAAATTAGCTGGTCGTTGTGGTGTGGTCCAAACTCAGCAGTATCGTTGTGAGAAATATGAGGCGTGGTTGTAACACCTCCTTTTTCTTAAACTTTAAAACATAGAATAAGCGGTCTAAAGATACGAAAAACAACGGAAGTAAATGCTAAGTAGGATAAATAAATCCAAAGTCAAAACTAATAACAGAAATAGGAAGTGTCACCGCCGCAGCTACCCATCCACGAGTAACTGCACAACATAAAGGACTACATAACTAACAAGAGTCAAAGCTCTACACATCAAAATAGGGGAATATGCAATTCCCAGTGTCCAAGCACCAACAAAGCATAGTCAAGCTACAACCAAAATGCGAGGGATAACTAGAGCTGATTAACGTCTAAACCTAAAGCTACATACTACCACTATCTATGCGAGCTCTCATCATGCACAGGGCCATTGCATAGGGCACCCAATTTTTTGGGGGCCTCATAAAATATATCATATGATATATACTATATAGCAGGCAGTAGCCTGCTGTATAGTATATATACATAATTTTTTTTACAATTGGTCCCAAAAATTTGGTTTATTACTCCCATTAACTCTTTCCCCCAAGTTCTTCATCAAACATCTATTAATTATTCATTAAAACTTATTAACATAATTGTACATATTATTTGATTTATTTCACAATAATTATTTATTGACATGGCTTTTTGACTTAATAATTTTAAATGTTGAATACTATATTTAAGAGTTTGTTTATTAATAAATTCCCTAAATTATTTATTGATAGAGATTATAAACAATTTTTTTCTTAGGATTTTGTAACAATGTTTTCTAGAAAATTAAATATTGATCTGAGTTTGAGAAACGTAAAAGAAAAGATGAATTGAAGAACTAATTCAATTTCAATAGGGAGCTCTTGAAAAATTCGTTACAAAAAAATATCAAATAGATGAGCAAAAAAATGATGCCAACGAAAATTTGTTACATGCTGATCTTCACAAAGAAGATCAAGATGATTGTGAGACTGAAAAAAATTTAAATGATAGTATGCACAACAATGATAAATGTTACTGTGACAATGAAAATGATAAGAATGTTGATGGTTGTTTAGATAATAGTTGTCACAACGATAAACCAAATGATTCATTTTTATTTGACATATATGATCCAAGAAATTGGAATGCCCTTAGTTCTAAATTAATAGATATTCTTGTTAAAAGGGGCCCAAAATTAGATGTTGACCTCAATTTGTATTGGAACGGCCCTGATCATTAAGATCACCTAAAAAGGGTTATAAAAGCACATAAGAAAATAAACCCGTTAGCTTAAAATGCTAAGCATAAACCACTCAACCCAGTAACATAACTATAGATATAGATTTTGGAAAATAGTTGACATTCAAACACAACGAGTATCCACATAAACAATATTATAATCCAATAATATCTCAAGTAACAATATTATACGTATGAGCAGGTATACTCATCAACATATGCAATATCAACACACTTCTAAGATACACACTATACCAAAGGTATTAATACCAAGTAAGAATCATACTAGCATACGAATATACATATACAACAATATAATATAACATGCTTCATTTCTCAAATACTCCACTTCATATCCTATGCAATAATGTAAAGTCATACGATATATGTAATAGTAAAGATATATAGATACTCGTACTCTCGAGAAAAGATATAATACTTTTCTGCAGAGGACCTCTTTCACATCACATGAATCTCTTTTCTCATCTTTCTCAATCTTTCTCTTTTCTTTTCTTTCTTTCAAAACTTGGGTCTGTGAGGTAGGTACCCCGCCGCGGCGAAGCCCTAGCAATGGTGCTTCCCACACAACCGCCAAATCCTCGCACCTACGGAACCTCAAACTAGTGGGGAGGTAGGAACTTCACGAATGGTGAACGGACCTATCCGGGCTGGCAAACAAGGGCCGACCTAATACCCATCTCGCCAACATAACCAATTCTCTAGGTTCTCAAACTTTCTTTCTTTCTTTCTCGGTGGAATCAGGTATCGTACTTTCAGTGTGCACACCCCCTAACCGGGATTCCAAGCCCAACGGGTAGTATCCAATCTAGCAGCCCAGGATTTTTCTACCAAGCTACTTCATTTGTCGGTGCTTGACCAATCTTTTCTCTTTTCATCCAAAAGAACATAGTCCAAACGGGAGCCTCCAAAACAACGGTTTTCCTCACTTCACATAAAATAATGTAGATATAGGTTTCCAAAATACATATACGGGTTTTGAAAATATCCTAAGGCAATAATATAGGCCATCTAAAGTATGCAAAGCTTTAATATGAAAACATAGGTTTTATGTACCAAAGATTATGAAATAGTCCAATATGCAAATGAAACCATATCTCAATACTCATAAACTAGATACACCACTAGTCATTTAATCAACTCGTCTCATAACTCAAGTCCAACATGGTACACAACTTTCATGCTCAGCTAACGGTATTCAATAAACACTTAGTAAAATCATGAATCATGTATGGTTTGGAAAAATAGATTTTATTCACAAATCACATAAGCACATTTCATACTAACGTGTCGTTACGAGCCTGAGCCTCCAAGCCACAAGGTCAACTCACATTTTATGATATTACTAATTGACAAAAAATATAAAAGAAAATGAATATTAATAATTGACTGCGAATAAAAAATGATTCATAATCGACTAAAATGAAAAAAGTAATTGTCAGATCATTGCATTTTAATTAAAAATGGAACGGAATTGAAATTAAAAATTGGACAGAAATATTTCAATAAAAATATTCTACATCATCAATTAAAAATGGAACGAAAATTAGATAAAAATATCACTGCATCTAATTTCTAATTGACTGAAAATAAAAAATAATAATTTTCTGAAAATGAATAAGATATTACTAATTGACTGAAAATATAAAAGGATCACTAATTGACTGATATCCTACCCTTATATATTTTCATCCGAGTCACCCATCCTGATGGACGGAAGGTTTTAGCTGTAGATGACGATGAACAAGATTGTGTGTCTACTACCAATGTTGTCTACAAAGAGGTTTCAATAATGTGTAAATATAATCAGTTTTATTATGTTTTTTTTTAAATGACAAAATTGTTCTATATCTATACAAAAAATATATTTTTTCATACAAATGAATTAGGATATCAATTCATTCTTATAACTGAGTTGCTAGAGAACGTGCACATTTGCCTAATTTATAAAAATACTGAACAATAATAAATAAAATCCCCAAAGTTACAGCAACACATGCTTACATCTACACATTAGCTATTAATTTGAGCAATTATTTGCTCAAATTCAAGCAATGATAACATAAAAACACATAAACGATCCAAAACATACCTTCAATTGCAGTATATAATATTTGATGTTCTAATTTAAACAATTATATATCGATCCAAATATTCTTAATATATTACAACAAATCCATTTCGTGCAACGTACTGGTGAAAATGCTAGTTTTGATTAATCCCTATTCCCTCCCTCCAATGTTGAAAAAAGAAAAATATGGGAAGCAGCCACAGCATCCCACAACACCCTTTGGCTCAAAAGTTTTACAAATTTCGACTTCTCATACTCTCATCAAGAGTGACTCTCACTAAATACCAAAATCAATTAAGCGACTCAAAGTTGAATGGACTTCACAACACACATGTTTCTGCTTTCAACTTTCCTCTGCTCAACGTGCTGAGCAATGCCATGTGCGAGAGCTTGAAAACAAACACATCTCAGTATGAAATTAATAGTATAAACTCTATGATGCAAACTCGAATCCCAAGTTGCCTTGACACTCCATGGATCCATCTCAACCAGACAATCCAATAAGATTGGCTCTTCAATTGCCCGTTCACTGCACGGTTTGAACTTTCCTCTGCCCAGCTTAATTCTGTTACCTGTGCTGCCAACTTTTGGAGCTTTAGGCTGTCAGCTTCATCTCCATCCTCATCATCATCCGCCATTTCTCAATCAGACCCATCCTCATCATCTTCACTTTGAAATCCATCCATCTCAATCTCATCTTCAGCTTCCTTTGCCTTTGGAGCTTCTGAAGATATACAAGGTAGAAAATGAAATCAAACATTAAGAGAATATACCATCTAAAGTGCAAATGAAACAAATAGAAAAACTAGTATAGGAAAAACATGGTTACTTACCAGCAAGTTGATCCTTGTATGCAACAAGGAGGTCAAGAATGGGCTTAAAAATGCCCTCAAGCAATCCGTCAATAAGAAACAAACTCAAAAGTTGTTGTATGCCCGTTCACTGCACGGTTCATCGCCAACAAGAAAAATAACTAATCTTACTTGTATATTCTATTTATCATTCAAAACAGTCGATGAATATAACTAATCACCTATGGTACGGTTCTTTGGTATTGCCCAGTCGGGAAGTAGTAACACTGATAATTTGTTTACCGTCATATTTCAAATTTGCCGAGACTATAATCAAGAAGAATGCATGCCTCTTTTAGTAGCCAATGAGCTTATAAAGCAATTGGTCAAATGGCGGCAGTTCTATTGAGTTCGAGGCCTTAATATGAAACAAGGGATTTGTGAGGATATGTACCCGCACTCAGCTTGATATTAGAGCATCCTTAGTAGTTTATTTCTGTTGTGATTTTTGATGAGTTTTTTTTTTTTTTAAGCAACCAGTTTTATTGACGGCGAATGACCCAATGAGAGGGAAAGCCTGGATTGTCATACAAAAGAGCTAGCTTTGCCTTCACAGGCAAAGAGCTTGCACTATGAAAGATCATAGAATCGGGGAAATTCAAACCCGCTGCCGCTAAAGCATCTGCAACCTGGTTGGTTTCCCGATAGACATGCCCTATCGTGGACCCCCAAGTTGCAAGGAGAGAACGAATAAAGAGCACAAATTCCTTTACCCTCCAGGGGATCCTGGCCGTGTTCCCCGACACCAAGGTGGCGAGGGCGAGCGAGTCTACTTCCACCAAGAAAGGACGTTTAGCAAACGCCTCACACCATTGCAACGCCAAACATAGCGAAACGGTCTCAGCTTCCAAAGCCGAGGCATGCAGCCTCAAGTTGAAAGCAAAGGCCAACTTGTAGATTGCCCCGTGAGTCCCGCAAGCAAGCACCACTGGCGGCTGCATCCTCCATGAATGCTGCATCTGTGTTAAGTTTCAGACGGCCCGTTGGCGGTGACATCCATTTCACCCAGATCGTCAGCAGCTTCGGTGGGGGCGCAAAAAGGCACCACCAGACCCATCATCAAAAGCAGATCATCACCAGGACTTTTGCGCTGAAGCTTTCGAGATGCTGAAAGGGCGAAAACATCACGCTTAACTCGCCTGATTATTTCCGCTGCGGGGGGCGCCTGAGCATCGTAGATTCCCAGGAGCACCATAACGCCCATAAAATTAAGCTCGGAATAAGGCGGGTGCACCATGCCGTCGCGGAGGCCGGAGCCGCTAGAAGCCACCATGTGTGGCATTCCACTCTGATCGAGCTAGCCAGGAGTTTTTGTAAATGTGATTAGGAAAAAGTAAAAAATGTAGGTGAAAAAAAAAAAGAAAAAATAAAACAAATTATGACATTATGACATTTAAAAAAAACAGTAAAAAGTGGTTCAAAAGTCAGAGTGGCCGCCAGCGGGCGGCCACTCTGACGTGTCCCAATTCCCACGTGCCCGCTCGGCAGTGCGTGCTGTTTTGTTTTTTTTTTTTTTTTGTTTTTTGTTTTTTAAATTTATAACATGATTTCTTGTTTTGCAGAAGGAAGTACCAAGCAAATAACCCCATTCCACATCTACAAAGAACCCCATTCAAATTTTTTCACCTGACATAAACTAAGAATTATCTCCTAGTAGGGATGCTCTTAGAGAACGAATTGAGCTGAGCGAGCTGCAAACATTGGAAAGTACAAAAGCTATTTAAGGAGGGTAAAAGATTGAGTCTTGACACTTAAAGTTTCATTTTGGCCGGTAGATATTTCGAGATAAAGATTGAAATTCGAGTTTAAAGTTTAATAGAAATGGCAAAGTGGCGGTGGACAACGCAGTGAACAGGCAATTCAAGAGTGATTGCTGAGAAGAATCCGATTGGAGTGTCCGGCTGAGATGGCAATAGGGAGTGACAAGGCAGATTTGGATTCGAGTCTGTTCGGCAAATTTGGAAAGAAATGTCGGCGAAGTTAGCCAGAATGTGGCCGTTATCTTTCTTGCACATATGCCACCCCATTTTTTTTTCTTTTAAATTAGTGTTTCCCATCTGTTAGAGATGGACACGTGGACGGGGACGGACGTCTTGCGTTATGAGTTTTCTCATGTGTGACCGTTCTCATTTGTACTTTTAAGTGAAAATATGTGCACTTGTAAGTGATTGTACTTACACTTTTTACTTGTAAAAGTACACCAACTACATGCACTTATAACAGATTTACTTGCACCAAAGTTCAAGTTATTTATAAAAATGTCACGATTCGTTGATCTGGACCCGTGGACAATTATAAATGGTTCTTATTTCTCCTTTCCTTTCCCCTCTTTATCCAAAACTCTGTCAACCACACTCTTCACCTCTTCTCTACTGATGCTGCTTTGACTCCCTCTACAAAGTTCTACGGAGACTCCCATTTCCTCCATTAACATCTTGGAATTGAATCCTTGCTCGGCTGCCAATGGCCACCCGATTAGCGGAATCCCCTGGCTCAAACTTTCCATCACAGAGTTCCATCCGCAGTGGCTCAAGAATGCCCCTGCTGATCTGTGGCACAAAATCTCCCACTGTGGTGCCCATGAATGGACTACTTTTCCCTGTTGATACTTCCCCATTCTTTCCTCAAACCCCTCCGGCAGTTATTCGGGTCGGAATTCCCCTTTTATGTCGAAGCCTATCGAGGGCCTGATCACCCAGAGCCTAATGCCATCATCTGAGAAGCACTAATGGTGTTCTGGGATCCAAAGGAAATGTAAAGAACTGATCCCTCTGGGTGTTTATTCCCCTTCTACTATTTTCCCTCCCAAACTAATGGAACAAAAATTAAAAACGAAATGAAAATATTTCAATAATAATATTCTACATCATCAAAGAAATGTAAATTAAAAAGAAATATTTCAATAATAATGTTCTACACCATCAATACCTTCAAAAAAAAAAAAACTATACACCATCAATAGTAAATGCATATTTTAAACAATAGTAAAAGTAAACAAAAAATGGAACAGAAATATTTCAATAAAAATATTCTACATCATCAATTACAATTGGGTTATAGATTTTGGAAAATAGTTCGACATTCAAACACAACGAGTATCCACATAAACAATAGGATAATCCAATCATAACTCAAGTAACGATATTATACGTATAAGCAGGTATACTCATCAACATATGCAATATCAACACACTTCTAAGATACACACTATACCAAAGGTATTAATACCTAGTAAGAATCACTGAATCATACTAGCATACGAATATACATATACAACAATATAACCTGCTTCATTTCTCAAATACTCCACTTCATATACTATGCAATAATGTAAAGTCATACGGACCTATCCTGGCTGGCAAACAAGGGCCGACCTAATACTCATCTCGCCTACAGAACCAATTCTCTAGGTTCTCAAACTTTCTTTCTTTCTTTGTGGGTGGAATCAGGTATTGTACTTTCGGTGTGCACACCCCTAACCGGGATTCCAAGCCCAGCAGGTAGTATCCAACCTAGTAGTCCGGGATTTTTCTACCAAGCTACTTCATTTGTCGGTGCTTAAACCGATCTTTTCTCTTTTCATCCGAAAGGACATAGTCCAAACGGGAGCCTCCAAAACAACGATTTTCCTAACTTCACATAGATAGCATACATATATCTCATGCAACTTCTCTTTTCATATTGGCAATTAGAATGACATGCAAGCTTTATAAAATAATGTAGATATAGGTTTCCAAAATACATATACGGGTTTTGAAAATATCCTAAGGCAATAACATATGTCATCTAAAGCATGCAAAGCTTTTAATATGAAAACATAGGTTTTATGTACCAAAGATTATGAAATAGTCCAATATGCAAATGAAACCATATCTCAATCAATGTTGAAAAATCGCAAGGCGCCCTCTAGGCGCTTGGGGACTGCCTAGAGAGCCTAGGCGGGCACCTAGAATGCCTAGGCGGGCGCCTAGAACGCCTAGGCGGGCTCCTTGAGCGCCTAGGCGCCGATTAATCGGCGGCTAGGCGCGATTTTTGCAACAGTGATCTCAATACTCATAAACTAGATACACCACTAGTCATTTAATCAACTCGTGTCATAACTCAAGTCCAACATGGTACACAACTTTCATGCTTAACGGTATTTAATAAACACTTAGTAAAATCATGAATCATGTTTGGTTTGGAAAAGTGGATTTTATTCACAAATCACATAAACACATTTCATACTAACGTGTCGTTACGAGCCCGAGTCTCCGAGCCACAAGGTCAACTCACATTTTATGATATTACTAATTGACTGAAAATATAAAAGGAAATGAATATTAATAATTGACTGCGAATAAAAAATGATCCATAATCGACTAAAATGAAAAAAAGAAATTGTCATATCATTGCATTTTTTTAATTAAAAATGGAACGGAAATTAAAAATTGGACAGAAATATTTCAATAAAAATATTCTACATCATCAATTAAAAATGGAACAAAAATTAGGTAAAAATATCACTACATCTAATTTCTAATTGACTGAAAATAAAAAATAATAATTTTCTGAAAATGAATCTGATATTACTAATTGACTGAAAATATAAAAGGATCACTCTGATATTCTACCCTTATATATTTTCACCCGAGTCACCCATCCTGATGGACAAAAGGTTTTAGCTATAGACGAAGATGAACAAGATTGTGTTGCTACTACCAATGTTGTCTACAAAGAGGTTACAATAATGTCTACATACAATCGGTGATATTATGTTTTATAAATGGCAAAATTGCTCTATATCTATACAAAAAATATATTTTCCATACAAATGAATTAGGATATCAATTCATTCTTATAACTGAGTTGCTAGAGAACGTGCACATTTGCCTAATATAAAAATACCGAACAATAATAAATAAAATCTCCAAAGTTGGATGAGGGAATGAATGACACTCTTATTGCGCTGGTGCCCAAAAATGTATGTCTTACAAACGCCAGCCAATTCTGGCCCATAAGTCTTTGCAATGTTATCTACAAGGTCATCACCAAGACTATGACTAATCGACTTAAGCCTATCCTTAAGGAAGTTGTCGGAATAGAACAAAGCAGCTTCGTACCAGGAAGACAAATCATAGATAACATAATTGTTTACCAAGAAGCCCTCCACTCTATGAGAGCTAAGAAAGGCACTAAGGGGAGCATGATTCTCAAAATTGATCTTGAAAAAGCTTATGAGAGACTTGACTGGGATTTCATTCGAGACACTCTCCATAAGGTGGGCTTAAATGACATTTGGGTCCGCAACATTATGAATTGTGTTGAAACTGCTAGATTGGGAATCATCTGGAATGGAAGACAGCTTGACTGGATAAAACCAAGTAGGTGGTGTCAGACAAGGAGACTCTATATCCCCTTATCTCTTTGTGTTATGCATGGAACGCCTTAGTCACGCCATAAAGGAACAAGTCTGCAAGGGGAATTGGAAAGGACTAAAAATGAACAGGTATGGTCCCACTCTCTCCCACCTTTTCTTTGCTGATGATCTAGTTCTTTTTGTAGAGGCCTCGCAGGACCAAATACAGGTTATTAAGGAGTGCCTAGAGCGTTTCAGCAAAGCATCGGGGCAAAGGGTTAGCCTTAGCAAATCACACATCTTCTTCTCAAGCAATGTGGATACCCGAGAGCAGGACAAGATTAGAGAGATTGCTGGGATCCCAGTCACCCTTAATCTTGGAAAATACCTGGGTGTTCCTTCCATTCATGGGAGAATCACGAATAACCTTTTTGCCCCCATCCTCGACAGAATTGACAACAAGCTTCTTGGTTGGAAAACTAAAACCCTCACCTTAGTTGGGAGGCACATCCTAGCCCAGGCAGCCCTTCAAACGGTCCCTTATTATTGCATGCAATCGACTCTCCTCCCTATGGGCATTTGTGAGGCGATTGACAAAAGAATTCGATGTTTTATTTGGGGTGGCTCTCAAGAACAACGCAAGTGTCACCTAGTTAGATGGGAGAATATTATCAAACCCAAGAATATGGGAGGTCTCGGCCTTAGATCCTCCAAAGATGTGAACCTAGCCTTCATGGCAAAGCTAGGGTGGAGACTCCTCAATGACAAACAAAGTCTCTGGAGCAAGGTCCTTAGAGGAAAATATGCTCATGATAAACATGGCATGGAAATGTTCATGCCTAAACTAGGAGCTTCTAACATCTGGAGGGGCATTACCAAAGCCATGCCTCTGGTCCAACGTGGCTTCCGATTCATAGTAAGGGATGGCAAACAAGTAAGATTCTGGGAAGATGCTTGGATGACGAAGAGACCACTGTGTGAGCTCACCAACCACAACGTCACTAACACCCAACTGCAATGGGTTGCGGACATGGCTGGAATTGGGAGGACCTAACTGACCTCCCTCTGGATATACAGAATACCCTTGCTCTCGTGGACCTACAAGAAGGACACGACGAAGTTCTCTGGACGGAGGAACCCTCAGGTAAGTTCTCTATCCGATCAGCTTACAATATGATTCATGAATATGTCTTGGCTACGCAGGAACCAGTTTGGGATAACGTGTGGAAACTCAGAGTGCCAACGAAGATGAAAATGCTAATCTGGATCATCCTCCACGAGAAGATCATGGGTAACGCGGAGAGAAAGAGACGAGGCTTCACCTCGGTGGGAGACTGCCCCTTCTATCCAGGCCAGGAGGAAACCACATCCCACATCTTCATGACATGCAGAAAAGCAAAAGAGGCCTGGAATGGCTTGACACACATCGCAAGTGATTGGAACCTCCAAAGCACTGATCTGAAGGGTTGGATCACCAGAAATACCCGTCCCAGAGTAGCTGAAGGTATCAACAAACCGGAGTTATTTGCTGCAGCGATTTGGTGGATTTGGAGATGGAGAAAGAATTATATCTTCCAAGGAGAGCTGACCACCATTGAAAGAAAAGTTTCCTGGATCGCCGAAGCAGAAAAGGAAATGCATAGAGCTTTTGAGAAGCAGCATGCCATGAGCAATCAAAGAAACAAGAAAGACACCAGGAACCCGTACTGGAAGCCATCGTCTAGCCGCGCCTGGACCCTCAATGTCGACGCCAGCTTTAAGTTCTCTACGCAAAGTGCTGGCTTTGGAGGAATCCTCAGAAGGGCAGATGGGAATTGGAGAGGCGGCTTTTATGGAAGATCCATTCATTACGACGCATCCACTATCGAAGCTGAAACCATAGCTAAGGGTCTAACTTGGGCATGGCATACGGGAATTAGAGATATAGAAGTTCAAACTGATGCGAAATAGATTGTTACGTGGATTAATGAAGCCTCTCTGCTAAGGGGTCCAATCAGTGATTATATAGATGAGATTCAAAGCTGGTTAAAAGCAAATTGGAAGGTGACAATCAGACACATCCATCGAGAGCAGAACCGAAGCGCTGACGCCATGGCAACTATGGGAGCAAGTTTGGGAGAAACTTGGAGGGATCTTGTTTCTTGCCCTCCAGGGATTGAAGAAATTGTCACCAGTGAATGCATGCGAGCTACGTGCCTACGTGGAAGTAGACAGTAGTGGGGTCACCCGCTCCCCTTTCATACAAAAAAAAAACATAAAACCATCCCTTCAATATTTGTTAGCTGGCGGGCCTAGAGATTTAAGGTTACTCCATTCCCAAAGCCACGGATCGAACCCTTGACCTTTGGTTAAAGATGGATGAGTCTCTTCCACTCAACCACTAATCGTTATACCGTACACCACGGCGCGCGTAGTATTGTGCGCCGCGCGCCTCCCAAAACGACGTCGTTTTGGGAGTCGCAGTAGGAAGTTGCTGTGATTATGTATATTTGTTCATACAATTATGTATATTTGTTCATACAATTATGTACATTTTTTATACAATTCTGTACATTCTTTTTATTCAATTATGTACATCCGAATCAGGAAATTTTTGTGTATTATGTTAAGAGTTGATGTGTATTATGTTAAAAGTTTATGTTTATTATGTATTATGTTAGATTATGTGTATTATCTTTTAAAAAAGTGTATGTATATTTTGTTATATAATTATGTATATTCATGTATACAATTATGTGTATTCTAGTATAACATTATGTACATTTTTGAACATGGGTTTTTTTTTAAAGAAAAATTAACTGCCAAACACTGGGGAGGAAAATTTCAAAAAAAATAAAAATTGAAACGACGTCGTTTTGCATCTGGGCGCACAATGCAACGCGCGCCGTGGTGCAGGATATAAATTGCCTTCAACCACACCCTCCAGATTACTATACAATATTTGATGTTCTAATTTAAATAATTATATATCGATCCAAATATTTTTAATATATTACAAAAAGTCCATTCTGTGCAACTCACGTGCGAAAATACTAGTTTTGACTAATCCCTATTCCCTCCCTCCAATGTTGAAAAAAAAAAAAAAGAAAAAAAAAGGGAAGCAGCCACAGCATCCCACAACACCCTTTGGCTCAAAAGTTTTACAAATTTCGACTTCTCATACACTCATCAAGACCGACTCTCACTGACTACCAAAATCAATTAAGCTACTCAAAGTCAAATGGACTTCAGAACACACATGTTTCTGCTTTCAACTTTCCTCTGCTCAGCGTGCTGAGCAATGCCATGTGCGAGAGCTTGAAAACAAACACATCTCAGTATGAAATTGATAGTATAAACTCTATGATGCAAACTCGAATCCCAAGTTGCCTTGACGCTCCATGGTTCCATCTCAACCAGACAATCCATTCAGATTCACTCTTGAATTGCCCATTCACTGCACGGTTTGAACTTTTCTCTGCTCAGCTTAATTCTGTTACCTGTGCTGCCAACTTTTAGAGCTTTAGGCTGTCAGCTTCATCTCCATCCTCATCATCATCCGCCATGTCTCTATCAGACTCGTCATCGTCACTTTGAAACCCATCTATTTCGATCTCATCTTCATCTTCATCTGCCTTTGCAGCTTCTGAAGATATACAAGGTAGAAAATGATATCAAACATTAAGAGAATATACCATCTAAAGTGCAAATGAAACAAATAGAAAAACCAGTATAGGAAAAACATGGTTACTTACCAGCAAGTTGATCCTTGTATGCAACAAGGAAGTCAAGAATGGCCTTAAAAATGTCCTCAAGCAATCTGTCAATAAGAAACAAACTCAGAAGTTGTAGTATGCCCCTTCACTGCACGGTTCATGGCCAACAAGAAAAATAACTAATCTTACTTATATATTCTATTTATCATTCAAAATGGTCCATGAATATAACTAATCACCTATGGTACGGTTCTTTGGTATTGCCCAGTATATAATTATACAGTCGGAGAGTAACACTAATAATTTGTTTACCGTCATATTTCAAATTTGCGGAGACTATAATCGAGAAGAATGCATGCCTCTTTTAGTAGCCAATGAGCTTATAAAGCAATTGGTTAAATGGCGGCAGTTCTATTGAGTTCGAGGCCTTAATATGAAACAAGGGATTTGTGAGGATATGTACCGCTCAGCTTGATATTAGAGCATCCTTAGTAGTTTATTTCCGTTGCTATTTTTGAGGAGTTTTTGTAAGTGTGATTAGGAAATAGCTAAAAATGTAGGAGAAAAAAAAGAAGAAAAAATAAAACAAATTATGACATTTAAAAAAAAACAGTAAAAAGTGGTTCAAAAGTCAGAGTGGCCGCCAGCTGGTGGCCACTCTGACGCGTCCCATCGGGCGCGTGGGAAACACGTGCCCGCTGGGGCGGCAGTGCGCGTTTTTTTATTATTATTTTTTTTTTAAAAAATTTCTAACATGATTTCTTGTTTTGCAGAAGGAAGAACCAAGCAAATAACCCCTTTCCACATCTACAAAGAACCCCATTCAAATTTTTTCACCTAACATAAACAAAGAATTATCTCCTAGTAGGGATGCTCTTAGAGAACGAATTGAGCTGAGCGAGCTGCAAACATTGGAAAGTACAAAAGCTACGTAAGGAGGGCAAAAGATTGAGTCTTGACACTTAAAATTTCATTTTGGCTAGTAGATATTTCGAGATAAAGATTGAAATTAATAGAAATGGCAAAGTGGCGGTGGACAGCGCAGTGAACGGGCAATTCAAGAGTGATTGCTGACAGGAATCCGAATGGAGTGTCCGACTAAGATGGCAATAGGGAGTGACAAAGCAGATTTGGATTCGAGTCTGTTCGGCAAATTTGGAAAGAAATATTGGCGAAGTTTGCCAGAATGTCGCCGTAATCTTTCTTGCACATATGCCACAGGTAAGGGCGGACCCAGCATGGGGGCAACTGCCTCCACTCCCTCGACCCCCACCCCTATATTATCCTTGTATGTATATATGTATATATAGAACAGGTTTTAAGTATAAGTTTAATAAAACACAAAAATATTAACAATTGTTGCTTTGGTTTAGTTGGCTGGGTGTGTATTAGGCTTTTAGTAAAGTTAAGTGTTCAAATTTTGAAGTGTACAAATATTGGTTTTATGACTTTTTATTATTATTAATAGTTAGCCTATATATATTGAGATGTGTAATTTATAATGCATTTTCTATTCTAATTATTTTATCAAATTAATTATGTTTCATATTTTATTATGAATATTTTTATAAAGTTTTGATATGTTTTATTTTTTACTCATATCTAAAAATATTTATGATTATATTTTTTAAGTGTTTCAACCTTTTTATTCAAATTATCTTTTTCGTTGTAATGTTCCGCCCCCACTGACAAAAAGTCCTGGGTCTGCCACGGGCCACCGCGTATTTTTTTTTTCCTTTTAAATTAGTGTTTCTCACCCGTTAGATATGGACACGTGAACGGGGACGGATGTCTTGCGTTCTGAGTTTTCTCCTGGGCACACGTTCTCATTTGTGCTTTTAAGTGAAAATAGTTGCACTTGTAAGTGATTGTACTTACACTTTTTACTTGCAAAGGTACACCAACTATATGCACTTATAACACATTTACTTGCACCAAAGTTCGAGTTATTTACAAAAATGTCACGATTCGTTGATCTAGATACGTACATAGTTATAAATGGTTCTTATTTCTCCCATGGACATCCGTTCGCATTAGAGCGTCTCCATATATATATATATATATATATATATATATATATATATATATATATATATATATATATATATATATATATATATATATATATATATATATATATATATATATATATATACTTGAGTTCAAATGAGTACCGGTATATTTTAGAGGACTGTGAGGACTAATATGACATGTGCCATTACTTAATATGTCGTGTGTATGGCATGATGTAGTCGTGTGCCATAGTTTGTATGTCACGTGCAAATGTTATTAATTAATAGAGCCTGGGTTCAAAAATTTATATTTACATATGTTCTTGTGTGCCATTGTGTATTAAGTTGTGTGCCTGATACTAATTTGTTGTGTGCCCAAAATTGGTCCGCACAGTCCTCTATATATTTCAGTTCTCATGTGAACTCAACCCTATATATATATATATATATATATATATATATATATATATATATATATATATATATATATATATATATATATATATATATATATATATATATATATACTTTGGATCCAGTGAAACCACCCTAGTTAGGTGAGATCATGAGATTCGATCTTGAGCATTCAAATTTTTTATTTTTAACGGTTCAGATTTCTGGATTGTTTTTTGTAACACCCCCGATTTTCACGATTTTCAAAAACATTTAAAGCTTAGTAAAGAGATAAAGACTACACATTAAGATAAGACAAAGCGGAAGCAACTTATTTAAGTACGGGAGATGTTATGCCACACCTATACATCTATAGGTGCACAGGCTAAGTCTAAACATATATCCAAATCAAGCTTATACAAAACCATGGCTCACAGGCCAAAAGTCTAACAGAAACAGTCATAGGGAGCTACACTATCTAACAAACAGCTAGCGCGGTCTCCAAAAGCTACTCAAGACCTATAAGGCAACATAAAGAAAGGGGATGACACCCGGTCAGCGAACATTGTTGGTAACCCATCAATACGCGTTAAATAGCATATATAGATAGTATACATCAAAACCATTTTCGAAACAGAATACAGTATAAATCAGTTCAAAAGCCGTAGAGAGAAGTCAACTACAAAGACTCATTCACATTCTCAAAGGAAAGTGGGAAATCAACATCTCAAGACAACAACAAGACAAGATTACTGTTACTATACGCGGTTTTACAGAAGACAGATTTAGAAAGAAGATCAGCGTATCTGCTTTGGAAAGGTATGGACCGAATCTTTAAGATTACATTCTTCAAATATTGTCCTACCATCTACAATCAAAGACATCTATGGAAGGAGTGTTCTATTGACGGATCTATAAGTATCCTCATTCGAAGTGAATTAGGGTTATGCCTTTAGAGAGAAGAAACACTCCACATCAGTTTTATGAGATCAGATCTTTGATTCCTATGCCTCTTCTCAATACAACATGTTCATGGTGATTAAGATGAAGAACTTGAGAAGAACCATTACTGCTTAAACGAAAGGACACTGTGATCACACTATTGTGGGAACAATTGTAAAGAGCGTCATTGAAGTGGACTGCATCAAAGTTGGCTCTCCAAGTGAAAGGATTTCATTGGACTTCTGTATGCATGGCTCTCCACCTTCAACAATCCACTAAACCTGTGTAGACTGGGTATGTACCTTGTGTGGGGCACTTGGGTGAGATTATTGTTTCTCTACCTTTGTACATTGGATTATGATTTAGTGGATTGGACGCCTATGTGATCGTCCCCCAGACGTAGATACATGATGTAGCAAAAATAAGATGTGAGTTCGGGTGTGTTATGTCGTCGTCAGGGGATTGGGGGATATGGCAAGCAATATGCAATCACAATAAACTAGGCACTAGCATAAGGAAATCAACAAGAAGCTAAGCAAACTACAAGTTTAAGGAAATGATAAGACTAACACATATACACAAAGATAAACACAAAATAAAGAGATAGGACTCAAGCTAGGGAGCATTATCATCTAGATGCTTTAACAACCTAAGGGATTAGGGAGAACAAGTAACCAATGAATCAAGCAGGAATGCACGTAGGTATCCTAGTCTACGAACCATTCTCGTGATTAATAAACAAGGATTAGAACAAGGAATTGCCCCACTTTCGTGGTGAATCAATTCCAAGTCCATCAAGCACACAAAGCATCTAAAGCCCCCAATTTCCCCTATTTTCGTAGGAAGAAATCGGGTCTATGCAAGGGGTGGCTTGGATTCATCACCCAACTCTTGTTGAGGCAAGGAATCCTCCAAAAACAAGCTAATGAAAGTGTACATCAAACATTAACAATATATAAATACAAAACCTTCACAAACACATGAACCCTAGGTTGGAGTTCTTTCCCTTTTTGCAATAATCACAAATCAAGCATCAAGATATATAATACAACCCTAACTCAAGTCCATAAACTAACTACTCATGATAAAATAGCATAAAGAACACAAGAACACAAGCATTAAACATAAATCTTGCAAAAGAAAGAGATAAAAGAAAGAAAACTTCTCTAAAGAAATTGGATGGTGGAATCTTGAAATGTTGGAATCCAAGCTTCAAATCCAAGATTACAAGCTTCAAAAGTGTTAAGAAACATAAATCTAAGCCTAATCTAACCTAAAAATATGAAGGGAAGTAAATGAGAGTGTCTAGGGTTCTAACAAGAGTCAAAACCGAGTTGAAATGATACAAAAACGCGCCTAAATAGAGCAGAGCAGATTGGGACGCCCTCAGGGATGGGCGTACGCCAGGGGGTACGATTTTTGGTGCATTTCCAGTGAAAACTGGATCAGGGAGAATAGATGCGTACTGGCATGCGTACGGGCGTACGGTAGGGCGTACGAGGCTGCTGAAAACAGAATTCTGTGCACTTGTCTTGACTTCTAGGCTATTTTTCTCATCTAAAACCATTTTATTGGCACTTATATTCTTCAACAAAGTTGTAGCCCTTTAAGTTAGGTTTCCAATGGTGCAAGAATCACTTCATTTGGACATTCCTACGCTGAGATATGGTCCAAAAACCAAATAGTGGTCAGTTTTGAATTGTAAGTTTGGAACTTCAACTTCAAGGATAATTTCGACCACCGTGGCTTCCTTTTTAGGCTTTGATGTCTGAATAGGAGTTGTAGCTCTTTGAGTCTTCTTTCCAATAGGACAAGAATCACATATATTGAATATTTCTAGACCGAGATATGGCCCGAAAGCAGAACAGTGGCCAATCCATGCGAGAATTTCAGCTTGTTGACACTTGTTCCACTTTTGCCTTGGTTTAATTTGTCCATATGATCAACACCATTGAAAACATCACCCTTTGGCTCCTTTGGAAGTGTTGCATCCATCTCCTTAGCTTCACCTTGGCTCCCCTTGACTCCAAATGCATCTAACATGATCTAAAATCCTTCATTTCTACTCAAAGATAATGAATTGTGCATAATGGATCAAATGAGCAAAATTAAGATCATTTTGAACAACATTGTGACACTTCATAAGCAAAACAAGGCTAAATATTGAGTAGACATGGGGTATAAATATGAACAATTATGCACTTATCAACTCCCCCACACTTAAACCTTTGCTTGTCCTCAAGCAAAAACAAGTAATAAATCACCATCCTAGCAATAAAATTGATCACACTCCCACTTTGCACAACCTATCAAACCACAATCCAACTTGTTACAACACAACTTGTTTCAAGAATCATTTTTGCATTCCACACAAGTTCCATTCTCAAGCCAATAACCAAGCACCAAAATTATTTAAGTGTGTGATGATCAAGTGTGCACAAATGCTAAGTTGAGATTATGCAAAACTTGACTTTGAATGAGATTCCATAGGCTTGCCCTTCATACTCCCACTAGTTCAACTCTATGATTGCATGCTAATATCATGTAGGTCTTTATTAGGCTTTTTATGGGGCTATTGGTGAATGGCTAACAAAGAAGGGGTATAGGAATAAAACAAAGGAGAGAACTTCACATTTATTCACAATTGGAGCTAGAAGGGATATAACTTCTATGGACTAAGGAGCAAAAAGACTTAAAGGACAAAACAAAACAAACCTTTAAAGTGGTGGGGGTTGAGTACAAATCTCAAAACAAACTTCAAACTTTTATTCTTCTTCTTTTCTTTTCATTTTCTCTTTTCATCTCTTTTTCATGACTTTTTTTTTTCTCAATTTTCTCAACATTCTCTTTTTTCATTTCAATAAACAAACTTATGAAACATGACCCCCACACTTATACAAGTTTAACAAGAGGATTTCTTACATAACAAGCTCCAATAAAGATCTCTTTAATGAAAAAGAATAAATGTTCTATTCTCTCAAGGGTGGAGGAAAATATTTTTGGCTAAGGGTTGAAGGATAAATGATGAGGGTTAACATAAGGAAAAAAAACACAAAGAAGGAACAAGTGCTTAGCACTTATTAAACAAACAAATGGCTCAACGGGGACAACTAGGGATAAAAACATATGTAAGGGTAGGTTTAAAGGCTTGGGCTAAACAAAAATGGCCTAAATCATTTCTAAACATGCAAATCTTAGACTTCACTTGGAGAGTAATGAGGCAAGTTCTAGCAAAATAACCATGACCGGAATCTCACATAAGCCTTCACTAGCAATGCACAACACACTAGATCAAGAATTGATTCAATTATTAAGTGATTAACAAGGTTATTGGCAAGAGAATAGATCAATCATGTGTTACCCCTTGGCTCATCAATCACAAGTTGAATTGCAACAAGTTCCACCAAAACAAACCACCAACCAACAAAGAGGGAGTAATCACAACTTCAAGCAAGGAAAGGCAATTTACCAAACATTATGCACAATGAGTCATCCAAGCAAAGTTTCAAAAATTTCAATTTTTTTTTAGAAAACACCCGAATTATCCCCCCCCCCCCCCCACCACACTTAAAGGATACATCGTCCTCGATGCGAAAGATAACAAAAATCAAGGGGGGAAGGATAGCACAATAAGCACAAGGAGCACAATCTCTACTATCTACACCAAGTAAAGCACTATACACAATAAAAGAAAGTAGAGAATGTAGATGAGACTCCCCTAATGAATCTTCTTATGTCAAAGAATCATCATGAAGCCTTCTTGGAATTGAGCATACTTCTTGGTGTCATTCCTAGAGTCAAGAGCATATAGACATGAAAGCACAAGTGAAAGCAAGATATTCAAAAATAAAAGTGTAAAGAAAAATAAAGAAAGTAAAGTGCAATAAAATGAAAGATAACATGGGGTGCCTCCCATGAAGCGCTAAGTTTAACGTCGCTAGCTCGACTCAACCTCTCAAAGAATAATCCTTGCATGTTTGGATGAAAATAAGTTCCTTTTCTCCATCCACTTTCTCTTCAATAAATTTCCTTAAATGTTGGGCATTAAGGAACTCCTCTAAGCTCAAAAGTAGCATATTCTCCTCAAAGAAATAGCAATGATCCACTTCCAAGAATATGCTCTCTTCTTCAATTTTCATATCTTTTTCTTCCAAATAGCACTTCAAGTAGTGACAATCAATAGGTTCCTTTAAGATCAAGTTCACCACTCCAATTGCTAGGATTCCCTCATTCTTCATTCCAATTTCCATGCTTCTTTCCTCAAATCCATTCTTGATCCATAATTCAAATGATGTCTTCTTTCTAAACCTCGGATATTGATAATACTCAAGAGCTTGATCATTCTCTTGAGTTCCACACATTTTCTCTTTTTGACATTTCCCATCTTGAATAAGCAAGGAGAACCTTGGGACTTTGTCATTCACCAATAAGAATTGGGAGTCCTTAGATATGAATATCGTCCAATGTGGGCCAATACTCTCAAAACCATTAACTCCTCCCGGTTCCCAAACTCTTCTAAAATTCTCAACATTCTCCATTAAAGGGAGTTCCTCATTTAAACCTTGCATTCTCCCAACTACATTTTT